TTAAATTGTATGACGTTAAATCATTGAGTTTGTTCATTCTAGAATGAAAAAGAAAGGTAAGAGTGAGAGAAAGAGTAAACCCTAAAAGGTCCAACTTGATGATATTGAGAGGGATAAAAATTGTTTGTTTGCCCTAACTTTGTAAAAATAATTACACCATTTCACATATATGAATCAAAAGCATCACTTTAAAAAATAAATAAATAAAAATCAAACTCATAAGCATTCTTATTATCCAAATTATGAGAATAATCGAATTTTGCTTTATCTCGATTCCATCGACCACCATGTTGACACATTGTACTCTAGAATTTCTTTCAATCTGAATAATGATAAATTTGGGAAAGTGAACCGATGCCATCAACTCAGCTCTAATTTGGTTTCTCTTCACTATCAATTCTCCTCTCGATCACCCATATGTGCATTGTTATTGTCGTTGCTAAAGCAAGAGAGTAATCTTCATACCTTCACACCACTTGGAAAATTTTCCACTTTGTTCCATCCACCACCTCTTGATTTTTGGTTGGCATGAGAAAGAGAGGACACATATTTATATATGGATTGGAAGGGGATTAGGAAGATGAAAGGATTAGGAGAGGGTATGTGATAATTGGAAGGGGGTTAGGAAGATGAAAGGATTGGGGGAGGGTATGTGGTAGATGAAAGGAGTTAAAAAAAATCAATGAGAAAGATAAAATTAATGAAAGAATAATTAATAGAGAGAAGATTAGTAAGAGAAAATAGGGGAATTTAGAGGGATGAGATCGTGACGGGGAGAAGAGATAAATTGAGAGAGAGAAAGTTTGTATTTAAATAACACAATTGCCATCAAAAGAAAAAGTGAAGAGAGTTATAATGAAAGGGGAAAAATGGTATATAGAAGTTTCTCCTCATCCCACCTTTTATATATACTATAGATTTAATTGTTATGGTTGATAATTAATTATTACTATTATTACTTTGAGTTTAGCAACATGTGATGATGGTCGATTGTATTCAAACGACTTTTTGGACGATAATATATGTCTAAATTAGTTGCGCTCAAATTGACATAGTTTTAATTAATGGGATTTTTGTTATAATGGTGTCAAATTTGAATGTTTTTTATTTGTTTGATTTTGTGGATAGACCATTCTATATTGTCAATGAAATAACCACTAATTGTTCGTGAGTCTAATTTATTCTCAGTGGATTATATACTCTAATTTCAGTGGGACAACCTCATGTTTGTAAATGCCTTAAACTAGGTTTCAACCCTTCCATAAATTAAAAGGCATTTTAGGAACTGCCTTGGTTGGAACTCTGTTTAATACATATACAACTGTTTTAAAAGCTTCGCACTCCACAATGACAATGGTAAACTAGAGTTACTAATCATACTTTGACCATGTCCATTAATGTTCGGTTTCGCCTTTTAGCTACACCATTCTTGTGAGCCATGCATTTTTGTATTGTGCAAGAATACCATGTTCCTTAAGAAACCTTGCAAATGAATCGAGCTTTTGTCCAAATCTTGTGTATCTACCATAATATTCACCACCTCTATCTGACCTCGCAATCTTGGTTTGTTTCTTTAATTGTTTATCAACTTCTACTTTATAGACCTTAAAAACATCTAGTGCTTCATCCTTATTATAAAGTAGGAAGACATATGTATAACGTGAGTAGTCATCAATAAAGGTAATGAAATATTTATACCATTTAAGCACACTTCTTGAGGGGCACATATATCAATGAATTATTTCTAATAGTTCAGAACTTCTTTTGGCACATTTAATTTATTGGTCTTGTTGGTCTGCTTTCCCTTAATGCAGTCTACACAAGTACCAAAATTATTAAAGTCAAGAGTTTCAAGGATTCCATCACTTACTAATCTCTTAATTATGTTAATGGAGATATGACCTAGTCTCCTATGCCATAACATGGAAGACTTTTCATTCATAACACTTTGCTTTAAATTGACATTACCACATGCATAGCCATAAGGTTGAAATTAAAGGTAGAATTTAGGTGAAGTTTGGAAAGACCGTCAAATAAGGAATCATAACCAATAGCAACATTGACTTTGAAAAGGTTAAATGAACTACCACAAAAGTTAAGGACATATCCACGACGTAAAAGTTTAGAAACTGAAATTAGGTTTCTAGAGAAAGTAGAAATATAAAAGGCTTTTTCAATATTCAAAACAAAGTCGATAAACGTAACACTATAAGAAAAAGGAGCTTCTGCCACGCTTTTTTAGTGATATCACGCAGATAGTGTCGTTAAAAAGAATTTTCAGTAACAAAATTGTTATAAGGTGTCGCCAAAATCAATTTTTAGCGACATATGTCGGCGTGTGTCGTTGAAAATATTTTCAGCGACATCGCGTTAACTAGCATTGTCGTTGAAAATATTTTTAGCGACAATGCCAAATGTTAGCATTGTTTAAAATTATTTTTAGCAACACCATAAAATAAATGTGTCGCTAAAGAGTGTTTTCAAATTAGAAAACCCTCCTCTCATTTTCTATTTCGTGTTTTCGTTTTGGATTTTGGAAAACCCTCGCCACATCGTCAGTCTTTGCTTTCCTTCGTTGTTTTGCCGTGGTTTGGGTTGTTTGGTCTCAACCTTACACCAAGGTATGTATTCTTCTCATTCTCTGTTGAAGTCTTTTGACAAAATGTGATTTGATTAAGCTTATGGTGCTATTCATAATTCACTACAAGAAGATTAAACTGTTTCGACCACCTTTTATCAAATGTTATTGAAAACCTTTGAAAAACAATACATTTATCAACAAATTTTTAAAGCCTTTTAGAAATATATTATCTTTTATCGAAGCTAATTTAAAGACCTTCGATAATTATTAACTATTTTATCGAAGGTTATTGAAAATCTTTGAAAAACAAAACATTTATCAACAAATATTTGAAGCCTTCGAAAAATATATGGTGTTTTATCGAAGGTTTTTAGAAAACCTTCGAAAATTATACGTTTTTTTATCAAAGGTTATTAAAACCTTAAAAAAAGATGCACATTTATCGACAAATTTCATAAACCTTCGGAAATTGTGTTATCTTTTATCAAAGATATTTTGAAAACCTTTGAAAATTATTCCTATTTTATTGAAGGTTATTGAAAACCTTTTTAAAACAATCCATTTAGCAACAAATATTTGAAACCTTCGAAAAATACATCATCTTTTATCGAAAGTTTTTAGGAAACCTTCAAAAAAGATAAATTTTTTATCAAAGGTATTTTAAAGACCTTCGAAAATTATTAACTATTTTTATCAAAGGTTATTGAAAATCTTTAAAAAATAAAACATTTATCAACAAATATTTAAAGCTTTCGAAAAAAATATAAGAGTTTTTATCGAAGGTTTTTAGAAAACCTTCCGAAATCATGTATTTTTTAAAAGGTCATTAAAATTTTTGAAAAAGATATACCTATATTTTATCTAAGGTTTTTTGAAGACCTTAGAGAAAAGATAAGTTGAGAGAATAAACCACGGTTAAAAGGGATAGTAATAAGTATTAACCACAGGTGGGAATCAAATTCCATAGAGGTGAGAGCAGACCCAAAACTCGCTTCCTCTTCTTCTCTTTCTTCTGCATTCAGGTACAAACTTCTTCATTCAGATGCACAAACCCTAATTTTCAGCTCCGATCCAATTATGGCTGCCAATTTCTGATTCCACTTCAGGACAGACTTTGAAGCATTCATGCCATTCTTTTCCCTCTCAACCACCATTTTTATTTAATCCTTCGCCATTTCTCTGTTTTTGGTATCTAATTCTAATGCGAGCACTGCTTCTTCTACAACAAGCTGGAAGTTCGGTTCGCCTCCGTAGACTCTGTCGTCGTCTGTGACGGCACTAGGGTACCACCGTAGCAGCGACGCAGCCATTGTGATGGTTCAAGATCGGTCTGAAAACGTGAGCTAGGAGGCGATTGTAGTCGAAATCGTCGACGATTCATTTCCTTCTCAAAGGTAAACTCTACCCAATATGATTTTCATCTTAATATCTGTTCATTCTGGTGAGACGACTGTTTACTGATAATATCCGTTTTTTAAAGGTCTTTTCTAAGTTGGAGGAGTAGAGATTTCCTTGTGAGATTGAGTTGAGAGATCTTATTGGAAGTATTGTGAGTTGAGTCAGCATTAAACAATATTATCATCTCATTTTGTAATTGCTAAGATGCAGGAATTTCATACAACAATATGGTGAGTCAAAATCTTCCAAGACACAAGATAAGTGTTTGTTTGAGTAGGTACGCAATTATATATATTCCACCACAATTTCCTGGTAATTTTGCAAGGTCTTTGTTTGATTTTGTGTTTGCATTTTGGAGAAAATAAAGACTATCTTGGAAGTTGGAACAAAAACAACTAATTAATTACATGTTTAATTACTCCAAATTAGCAATGGACATGTCTCTAATATGTTTGAAAAATGCTTCTGAAAGTAATTCTTTTAACACCTTTTACATAAAAAACCTTCATGAGATTTTGGACAGAGATATAGCTTAAGTTAAGATTCACCTTAGACTTTTGACTATCCCTTCGAATAAACAGAGCAAGCTGCTTTTAAATTAATGTGTGGTTTTGCTTTTATTCTATATTTTATCTTTAATTGCTTATTTCATAATGACAGATTTATAAGTCTGACTGGTTTGTTGGACTTCTTTTAGGAATTTTAAAATTGTTACAACAGCCATCTTAGTTTATAATGCCCATCCTAATCTCCACATTGGGTAGCAAGAAGAATTCCTTTCCCTTGGTCTTTATTTTTCAAAATCTTCATCTTAATCACAATGCTAGATGATTTTCATGTTAAATACGACTTATGAGATACTTCACGTCTTTAGGTTCTGCTTGGTAGAGACTCTCATAGCTGTACAGCTGGTGCATTTGGTCAATTTGCTACTGGAATTAGTAACACTGATGCAAGATTTGTACTAGGCACTAGGAAATCACTGCTCAAGGTATGTCTAAAATTTGAATGGTTTGGATAACCTCTTTTTATTTTATTTTCTTAGTTGTCTGTTTTTGTTTATGTTTGCTGTTCGTAGTCTTGTTGTGCTATTCCTGCTACATTATTTGGTCACCCAAACCAATCCAACTACAGTTGTTGAGGAATTTCATTTTGGCTTATTTTAACATTCAACGAACACAAATGCATTTACATAAACCACTGAGATGGAGCAAATAGAATCAAACTACCTTAAATGTGCAAAAGCTAAAGCCGTTGACAAATGACGAAAATAATGCAAAGATAGATAAAAGAACATGACCTATACATGTATCTTCCTTCCACAAAAGCCAACCAATGTACTAATATAACCTTAAAAAAAACCTATAATTGGAGAACAGAGTACAGTTACAAGGTCCCAGTAAGAACAACAATAAATGTGAGAGTGTAATCAGCTTTTTACTTCATCAATGATGGATAATGCTTTACCCACTCGTTTACATGTGTATGACACTTAGTACATATATAAAAAAAAATGGTAACAAAGATCAAGGACTAGGATGCCAACAAGATCAACAATCTAAGGCCAGTGAAGTAATAAACAAGCAGACCAAAATCAGCAACCAGACGAAAAATGATTAACTACCAGTCGGTACAGCAATTTACAAGGATTCCGTTTCAAAATAGCCAAAAATCACACAGATCAAATACAAAAACGCAAGGAGGATCAACTATAATAAAACTAAAGAAACAAAACCTATAAATATTTAAAAAAAATGCAAGAAAATATGCCAAATATAGAGGTAGAGTAAGTACAGATAATAGGAAGAAATTCTCACCATTTTCTTGAGAAAATTATAGGCAAGAAAGCGAAAGGAAAGGCGAGAAATGTTGAGAAAATTACGGTTGTTGTTCGTAGTCTTGTTGTGTTGTTCTTCATCTTAATCACAATGCTAGATGATTTTCATGTTAAATATGACTTATGAGATACTTCACGTCTTTAGGTTCTGCTTGGTACAGACTCTCATACTTGTACAGCTGGTGCATTTGGTCAATTTGATAGTGGAATTGGTAACACTGATGCATGATTTGTACTAGGCACTGGGAAATCACTGCTCAAGGTCTGTCTAATTTTTATAAGTTATAATAAGCCGTGGACATTCTATCATAGATTAGCAAATCCAATATTTCCATTTTCCTTTCCAGTATCTGTGTTTGTGTGACGAATGTGTGAAATCCTAAGATGTTTGATCTCTTTTTGGTCTTGTTACTGAATAACTGAGTTAGCTCCTTTTATGCTATGTTTTGTGTGATTTAATTTCTATTTACTTATTTTTTTTAGTTTAAGATCTCTTTTTTGTTTTCTAGGTAGTCTTTTACTTTAACAGAGAAGCATTTCACATTATTCTTATCACAAGCTTGTTGTATAACATGGATAAAAGTTGGATAGAAATTGGAAATCGAGCATTACAAGAATATAGAAATGGAGTAAGAAGCTTTCTAGATTTTGCATTTACGCATACAACATCTAATCAGATTTCTTGTCCATGTAAGAGATGCAATAATGCAATACTTAAAACTCGAGATGATGTTGAAGCAGATTTGTTAATGTTTGGGATAGTTCCAAGTTACACTCGATGGACAATGCATGGTGAAGAAAGTTTATCATATGGATTAGGAGAAAATGATAATGACTCTGGTGAAGAAGATATTTTTGAAATATTAGAGGATCACTTTGGTGTTTTTAACACCAAAAATTGGACCAAGAAAGGAGAATCAAGTAAACATGGTTATAATGAAGAACCAAATGAGGAAGCTTCTAAGTTTTATAGATTGTTAAATGACGCAGAAAATGAACTTTATCCTCAGTGTAAGAGATATTCTAAGTTGTCTTTCATTATGAAATTGTTTCACCTAAAGTGTCTTGGAAATGGGAGTAATAAATCATTTACTTTATTACTCAATTTATTAAAAGATGTATTTCCAGAAGGCACTAATCTACCTAATAATTACTATGAGACAAGAAAGATCATTCGGGACCTAGGACTTAAAGTACTCTAAGATATATGCATGCTTGAATAATTGCATGTTGTATTGGAAAGAAAATGCTAAGGCAGATAAATGTTCAGTTTGTGGAGAATCTAGATGGAAGCTAGAAAAAATCTCTAAAAAGAAGAAAGTTCAAAAGTTCTTATTAAAAAACAAGAAGAAGGTTCCACAGAAGGTTTTGAGATATTTTCCTCTAACTCAAAGATTAAAAAGATTATATATGTCAAGAAAGACAGCATCAAGTATGACATGGCATTTTAGTGGACGGGTAGATGATGGAGTTCTTAGGCATCCTGTTGATTCTATAGCCTGGAAAACACTTGATGAATCATATAGTTTATTTGCTTCAGAGCCTCGGAATGTTCGACTTGGTTTGGCCAGTGATGGATTTAATCCATTTGGAAATATGAGTCTCTCTTATAGCGTATGACCTGTCATTCTTATTCCGTATAATTTGCCACCATGGATGTGTATGAAAGAGCCTTATTTCATGCTATTATTACTCATTCCTAGACCTAAAGGTACTGGTAATGATATTGACATCTTTTTACAACCATTAGTCGATGAGTTAAAGGAGTTATGGGAGGTTGGGGTTGAAACTTACGATGCTTCACTAAAGCAAAAATTTACCATGCATGCTGCATTATTATGGACCATTAATGATTTTCCAGCATATGGAAACTTATCTGGTTGGAATACAAGAGGTACCCTAGCTTGTCCTTCATGTGATTTTGATACTCGATCACTTTATTTAAAAAATAGTGGGAAAATGTGCTACATGGGTCATCGTCGTTTTTTACCTTTAGACCACGAATGGAGACTACAACCAGAGTTGTTTGATGGGCATGTTGAAGAAGAATTACCTCCTGAACAATTGTCTGGAAGTGATATACTCGAACAAGTGAATCAATTTGAAGAACATATATTTGGCAATACTGTGAAAAAGAGGAAACGTGCTAAAAACTGGCTGAAGAAAAGCTTATTCTTTGAGTTACCTTATGGAGGAACTTTAATGTTGCGACATAATTTAGATGTGATGCACATTGAAAGAAATGTTTGTGAAAATGTGATTGGTACGCTATTGAATATTAAGGGGAGGACAAAAGATAACTTGAAGTCTCGTCTTGATCTCCAGCAAATGGGAATAAGAA